TTAATTGGTACTTATATTCTAATACAATTGGTATTCAATTGCTGAATGCAACTAATAAGTTTAAAACCTTTCAAGCTGAGAGATTGGCATATATTAGTCTAAACATATAGTGTTTAATTTATATATTGTATAAGTACATAATAAAATTGTGGAATTACCAAAACGCTAAATGTCTGGAATAGACAAAACGCTAAATGTCTGGAATTGCTGAAACGTTAAAAGAATGCAATTGGAAAAACGTTAAAATTCTGGAATTACTAAAACGTAAAAGTCTGGAATTCATAAGACGTTAAAAGTCTGGGATTTTAAGACGTTAAAAGTCTGGAATTGCCAAAAACGTTAAAAGTATGGAATTACTAAAACGTTAAAGTCTGGAATTCATAAGACGTCAAAAGTCTGGAATTGCTAAGACGTTAAAAGTCTGGAATTAAACGTTAAAAGTATGAAATTAGAAAACGTTAAAAGTCTAAGATTGCTAAAACGCTAAAAGTCTGGAATTGCCAAAACGTCAAAGTTTGTAATTGGAAAAAAACGTTTAAAGAGTCTTCTAAACGTCTTCTAAAACGTTTTTATTAGGATGGTCATGATTTGTTTTTAGCCTGGTACCATCTCCTGAGATGACTTATCGACAAAAACGCATGTCACTGTTCTACAAAAACATGTTATGAAAGATAGCCCTAGAGCTGAACATAACAAAAGAAGCAGGCCTGTCGGTATTAGAACCTGGAATCTTCCTATCTGTAGTTAGACGTGTTATCCACTACACCACGACAACTACGTTCTAAATTGTTTATATAAAGTGTATAAGAAGTAGCCAAGAGTATAAGTATTAGTGAAGTTACCTCGTATAGTTCAGGTGAGCATGTACCATGTTTTATACTTTCAAACTTGAAATATAATTAGAATTAACTGATTGGTCCTCTCTATAATAGAATAAACACGTTTTTATTTTTTATTTTTGTTATGAACAATTATGAACAAACTGCTCTTCACCTTATCTACAACTGTCCGAACTTTGAAGAAGTGAGAAATCAATTGTTTCCTAATCTAAATGATTTAACTTTCTTACATCAGCCACTATGTCTCTATATAAAATTCATGAACTCTGCCGATTAATACATGTAAATTTGTAAATATTTAATTATAAGTTTAAATTTGTTTATTGTTTTGTTTGTTTCTCATCTGTAATAGGCGCAAATATTTGAATATCGCGGCTGGTTGATTAATAAATAAAAAACTCGTGTTTTAAAAACAAATAGTCTTTATATTTGTTGACTTTGCTTAGAAATTTTAATGAAACTGACTACAAGAATATATTAATTAAACATTATATTTATGGATTTACAAGAGAGAGAACAAATATAAAAGAGAATCCATCAATAATTCTAAAACAAAGGAACTTTTTTTTCGGTTAGCGCCTAGCAACTTGTGAACTTACACACATACTCTGTGGAAATAATTAATCAATTAAAATATATATACAACACTCTTCCTCCCCTCCCCATTTATATATTCTGATTAAAATATTTCTTATAATGAGAAAATATGAATGATACTAGAAGACATTGGATACATTAGCAAATAACGTTATCTACTTTGAACAAAGGATGCAGACTGTTTTCTTTCTGATTTGTTTTTCTATGATTCAAGGTTATAATCCATTTCCTTGTCCCTTCCGCCTTATTCCTTACATAACCATTCTGTTTACGTCCTTCGTCTGATAACTCTTTAGTTATTATTCTCTTCTTTAACTATAATAAACAATAGGGTATTTACTTCTGGATGGAAATTTGTTGAAATGACAATTCTCTCTGTTTTCTAAATATAGCAATATAAGAATTATTGTTGTTGTGACCAGTGACCTGTTAGTCTGCTGAATTCATTGTATATAAATAGATGTCTTAGTTAATGTAGTTAATGTTGTTAGATCAAACTGTAGAGCTTGTGCTCTTCAGCTGCCCAGTATTCGAACTACAGAGATTCCAAACGGCTACACTTATTGGATTGCCCTCATTGAATGACACTGCTCTATTGAATCTACCAAGTAACAAACCGACCTGGAAACACTTGGTGAACTGGTTCACTAAGGCTACCAAGACAGACTCCTAAACCGCAGGACAGCCGGGGTAGTTGCCGATTTAAGGATACGCTCCAGGAGCCTGGGTTACCTTTATGTTACCACTAGTTAATGTTGTTATTTTCTACCGGCCTAACCTGCTTCTTCCCTGACGGAGATCCTGTCCCTAGCCTCCCCAGCATGGTCATAGTGCTTTGTATATATTCCGCTTTATGCAGCCATTGGAGCTCAAAAATAATTTTATTTTGGTTAGCAGAGCCCCGTATATAAAGATATTACCGTAATGTTGTTGTATCCAAACACCATACACTTTGGTTAGTATCCCGTAAAACTATATTCTCTCTGGTGTTGTTATGTTATCTTATCTTTTAGTATGAGGTAGGTTACCGTTCAATAAAATCTTCCGGTGATCAGTTCCTTCTCCTATCTCCCCTTTTTTTTTTCTAACCAAATTGTTTGTAGCTTGAATCTCTTTCTACCTCTCTCACCCTTGACTCCCAAATAAATAAGAAATGGGATTTGTAAATTGTTCAAATCACATTAATAGGTACCGCTCAGCAAGAGCAACCTAGTTCATGATAATTGAACAATGAATAATATGTGAAGGTTATTCACATATTAAACAAAATGTTAACGCGGGATTCAATCCCGGTTCATGACTGTCGGGAATCGAGCGTGTTACCCGCTCGTCCACCGACTTTTTATATATGATTTGTAAATGTTGCATAATAAGAGTGTATCTCTTTATATATATACTAGACGAATGGCCCGGGCAACGCCCGGGGTTTACCCGAGTGCGAATATATTTTAAAAACGTTGTCTTGGGTGGTCGCTATTGACAGGGTGGTCTGTATAGACAGGTGGATGTATCACACAGCTGATAACAGGGTTGTCTAGAGTGGTCGCTATAGACAGGGTGGTGGTCGCTATTGGCAAGGTGGTCTGTATAGACAGGTGGATGTATCACACAGCTGATAACAGGGTTGTCTAGAGTGGTCGCTATAGACAGGGTGGTGGTCGCTATTGACAGGGTGGTCTGTATAGACAGGTGGATGTATCACACAGCTGATAACAGGGTTGTCTAGAGTGGTCGCTATAGACAGGGTGGTCTGTATAGAAAGGTGGATGTATCACACAGCTGATAACAGGGTTGTCTAGAGTGGTCGCTATAGACAGGGTGGTCTGTGTAGACAGGTGGATGTATCACACAGCTGATAACAGGGTTGCCCAGAGTGGCCGCTATAGACAGGGTGGTCTGTATAGACAGGTGGATGTATCACACAGCTGATAACAGGGTTGCCCAGAGTGGCCGCTATAGACAGGGTGGTCTGTATAGACAGGTGGATGTATCACACAGCTGATAACAGGGTTGCCCAGAGTGGCCGCTATAGACAGGGTGGTCTGTGTAGACAGGTGGATGTATCACACAGCTGATAACAGGGTTGCCCAGAGTGGCCGCTATAGACAGGGTGGTCTGTATAGACAGGTGGATGTATCACACAGCTGATAACAGGGTTGTCTAGAGTGGTCGCTATAGACAGAGTGGTGGTCGCTATTGGCAAGGTGGTCTGTATAGACAGGTGGATGTATCACACAGCTGATAACAGGGTTGTCTAGAGTGGTCGCTATAGACAGGGTGGTGGTCGCTATTGACAGGGTGGTCTGTATAGACAGGTGGATGTATCACACAGCTGATAACAGGGTTGTCTAGAGTGGTCGCTATAGACAGGGTGGTCTGTATAGAAAGGTGGATGTATCACACAGCTGATAACAGGGTTGTCTAGAGTGGTCGCTATAGACAGGGTGGTCTGTATAGACATGTGGATGCATCACACAGCTGATAACAGGGTTGTCTAGAGTGATCGCTATAGACAGGGTGGTGGTCGCTATTGACAGGGTGGTCTGTATAGACAGGTGGATGTATCACACAGCTGATAACAGGGTTGTCTAGAGTGGTCGCTATAGACAGGGTGGTGGTCGCTATTGACAGGGTGGTCTGTATAGACAGGTGGATGTATCACACAGCTGATAACAGGGTTGTCTAGAGTGGTCGCTATAGACAGGGTGGTCTGTATAGACAGGTGGATGTATCACACAGCTGATAACAGGGTTGTCTAGAGTGGTCGCTATAGACAGGGTGGTCTGTGTAGACAGGTGGATGTATCACACAGCTGATAACAGGGTTGCCCAGAGTGGCCGCTATAGACAGGGTGGTCTGTATAGACAGGTGGATGTATCACACAGCTGATAACAGGGTTACCCAGAGTGGCCGCTATAGACAGGGTGGTCTGTATAGACAGGTGGATGTATCACACAGCTGATAACAGGGTTGCCCAGAGTGGCCGCTATAGACAGGGTGGTCTGTGTAGACAGGTGGATGTATCACACAGCTGATAACAGGGTTGCCCAGAGTGGCCGCTATAGACAGGGTGGTCTGTATAGACAGGTGGATGTATCACACAGCTGATAACAGGGTTGTCTAGAGTGGTCGCTATAGACAGGGTGGTCTGTATTGACAGGTGTATGTATCACACAGCTGATAACAGGGTTGTCTAAGGTGACCGCTATAGACAGGGCGGTCTGTATAGACAGGTGGATGTAACACACTGCTGATAACAGGGTTGTCTAGAATGGCCGCTATAGACAGGTGTATGTATCACACAGCTGATAACAGGGTTGTCTAGAGGGGGGCGGGCAGGGAGGTCACGTGTTTGCTGGCAGCCAATGGGCGCATTCTATCCGTGAGCTTCAGACAAACAGACAGAATAAGGCAAATATATAAGTAGATATATAATATAGTTCTGTATATACACATAAAAGAAACATTCGCGGTATAATTTCAATTTTCGTTTTACAATCATCAGCCGCGTTATATTGTATTTTAAATGTTACTTTAAGTATTAGTTACGAACGGAAAAATACGTCCAGGGTAGCCGAGTGGACAACTCACCTGCCCGGTAAGCAGAAGGGTGTGGGTTCGATTCCCGCCCCTGGACACTTTTTATTTTTCCGTTCGCCATTACTCTTCATGTTTCACCTTTCCATACCTCATCCTCAAAGTTAGAAATGTCGCTATTTCTCTTTGAAAATAAATTTCGATTTTTATAAAAGAAACATTCGCGGTATAATTTCAATTTTCGTTTTACAATCATCAGCCGCGTTATATTGTATTTTAAATGTTACTTTCATTATTGTCACATAAAATTAGGAAAGACAAACTTCAGAATGATACAGAAATTTATTTAAGGAAAAACAAATTAACACTAATAAAATAGCAGAGATGTAATGAGGAAATTTTACAGTGTAACAAAATACAAATATCGAAATTAAAGGATATTTTAATAGAATAATAAATAATCTGCTACAATTAAAATATACAAGTATCAGAGTCATCAATCAACAATCAATTAACAATTCTGTCACCGTTTGCTTTTGTGAATGGAATAAATACTCGAATATAGCCGTTTTTTTTAATAAGCATCGGTGTTTCAGTGATAGAATGCTCGCCTGCCACGCGGGTGCCTCGGGTTCGATTCCCGGCCGATGCATTTTTTTTTTTACATTTTTTAAAACTCATTTATATTATTATTAAAATATACAAGTATCAGAGTCATCAATTCTGTCATCGTTTGCTTTTGTGAATGGAATGCTTTTACGTAATATAAGTAAAATACGTAACTAGCGGTGAAGATGGGAGGTAATATCAGCTGACCTAATGTACATGTAAAACGTTTTTTAACAGGACATAGAAAAAATATGGAAAATATATTTGTCGCATTTTTAGCCAAGAAAATTTTAAATTGACAGGTTCTGGGCAAAAATAGTTGTTTTTTTTTAGTCAGAAAATGATTATGGCAATATTGCTGTATCATATTTGATTATCAGATACAAAATTATATCCGGAAAAATTCCAAAAAGCAGAGACCACGGGTGGAGCCAGTTCATTTTTAGTATGCAGGAACAAAATTCTAACAGAAAAACATTCATTCGAGCAGAAGACACAAAGCCAGATCATCTATATATATAAAATTGAATGTCTGTGTGTCTGTGTGTGTGTGTGTCCATCTTCCATAAACGACCATGATTTTATTCAACTTATCGAGTATTTTTCAAGGGACCGGGAAAATATGTAGATAAAACGATGATTTTGTAATGTAGAAAATTAGGAAAGACAAAATTCAGGATGACACGGCAGACAGGGACCGGGAAAAAATAATCACTTTATCGAGAGATTCACGACCATGATTTTATTCAACTTATCGAGTATTTTTCAAGGGACCGGGAAAATATGTTCACTAGATAAAACGATGATTTTGTAATGTAGAAAATTATGAAAGACAAAATTCAGGATGACACGGCACACAGGGACCGGGGAAAAATGTTCACTTTATCGAGAGATTCAAATTTACGAGTTTCAAATTATCAAAATATATCTTATTTTTTTATAAGTTTATAGAGAATTGTTTTAACAAATGTTCGTTAGACAAACCTTTACTCGGGTAAAACTTCGGGCGAAGCCGGGTACGTCCGCTAGTCTCTTTATAAAAAATATCGCTTCTCAGACACAAAGTTTGGAGCGGGACGTTCCACAAGAATGACATCCACGGCGCCAATTTATAATTGCAACGAATAGTATTTGAATAAAAGCATTTAAATAAAAGCATGTAAAATGTTATTTATTGTATATTTTGTATTTGATTTATAATATTAAGAGACCTTTAACACAGAAATGCCAGCGGCCACTGCTCCAAGCAGCATGAGAATAAATGCATCTTATGTTTATTAATATTTCTGAATAAGAAAATCACACTGATTTTGAGAAAACATATCAATAATAAAAAAATAATCAAATCCAAAAGATGCTTTATAATAATATAATTTTGTGTAAAATAAAGAATACTTCTGTATACTTATTCCGACCTTTCGGCCTCCGAATGTCGTCCCTTTACAAATACGCTCATGGATAAACCTTGAGTGGAAAGTCTTTTATGTCGGCGGTGTGGTGTATTTAGGTTGATTTAAAAGTAAAAATATATTTTAGGCTTTATTTAAATGGATTTTATTATATTACACCGTATTAGATGCAAGCTTAAGAATTACAAGTTAACAATCGAATTATATATGATAATAAATTATATGTTATGATAAATACAATATATCGCAGAATAATAATCTGTGGATTTAATATAATTATTATATTGAAATATTATATACAATATTATATCATATATATTAAAATATAAATATACGACAGCCGGACGTCTATATTTTTAAGGAGACGGAGAAAATTTGTTCACACTTGGTTATCTCGTGTGTCTTCAATAAATATCATTGTGAATCAAATGTCATTCAGAGTTATTGTTTGAATCTTGACATACATGCTAAAAGGTATAACTTCCTTAAGTTTTGTTTATGAGTTTATTATTATTACCTAGGTTTCGCCGATATATATACTTCAAAAAGAGCGACAGGAGCCCAAAGCTTCAGAATGTAATAATGTAGAAAGTAGATGCGATTATATATAAATACATTTTCATTTATATAAATCCAACTAACAAAAAAGCCTTTTTCTATTCTAGTAAAATAGCCAAAGTCCTGACTATTTAATGTATGTGACCACGCGAAGAAATACATTGTATCGTGTATGTTCAGGCCTGTTGCGAAGTTCCCGCGGACCCCTACAGTCCGCTAATCCGCACACAGCCACTGGCACATGTCCAGGACCTAGGACCTGGCCACACCATCGTGGAATTCTTCAACAATGCCGTGACCAAGTTCGGGAAGAAGAATCTCTTCGGAAGCAGAGAAATTCAGGGGATGGTCCTGGAACGTCAGAAGGATGGCAAAGTTTTGAAGCGGGTAGGTACCTATTGGGTTGACATTATCTCTACTATACCCCATATATGTAGAACCTCCCTGTAGAGGGCACCTAATTGCAGAACCAAAGTGTCCTATAGGCAGATGTGTCCTCTTACCGGAGAGTTGCTAATTTGTAAAAGTGGTAATTTTTAAAATAAAAATTGTCCATTGTAGAGAGATGTCCGCTAGCAGGGTGTCCGCTAAAGAGAGGTTCTACTATATATATAAAAGTCGCCTCTCCCGGAAAAAATAGACGCTAAAACTAAACGCCATCTATTGGCCGTATCCGCAAACTAGCGAACTCAGGTCGGTGACAAAGTCACGACACCAGCTTTGGAAAACTGAGAAGCGTCCACTTAGAGACCATGGTTTCGGGATAATGGCCCTCGTCAGTCCAGGGTGGACTTTATTTCATGACATCCACAAGGGATCTAATGAAATCTTCACAACCTGCCAAAGAGGTATTACAATCTATAAAATAAAAGAAGACAAGTATCTTAAACGGTTTTTATATACGCCTGCTTTCGGGTGAGAACCCTTCGACAGGCAGAAATAAACGATCGTTTATTTCTGCCTGTCGAAGGGTTCTCACCCGAAAGCTTGCGTATATAAAAAACCGTTTAAGATACTTGTCTTCTTTTATTTTATAGATTGTAATATAATAGCTCTAAGAAGAATCTCTTATTCTTATTATCAAAGAGGTATTTAACTGCTAAAGTGGTTAGGCGACCTTTTCTTTCATAGATCCATATCCTCCAGGTGAAACTTTCACATAAATATAAAGTTTATTTGAACACTTGGTCAGGATATACATTTTTTAATTTCAATACCAACACCTGACCTTTTTTATTTGTAATCATTTCTTCACATATATATCAAAATAAAAAAGGCATATCCTGACCACAATCACATGAGCTATTTAGATGGCAGAGCGCCATCTAGTGGAACAGAAATCAACTAAACGTTGATTTAGCCTGTTCCCTGATATTTGACCAACCAATTTTCTTGATAAATCAAGAAAGGCCAACAACGAACGCGTTTCGGGCTGTTGGCCCTCGTCAGCGTGGTGCATACAGTACCTCTCTACGACCAAATATTTGGTTCTAGAGACTTCCTGAGAAATCAAGAAATTGGTATTTAAGGCCAAGTTTAAATATATAAACACGCACGCTACGCGCAAACACTTACAGTATTAGTTAGAAAATAGTCGAAGTTCTTTTTAGATAAGCCCCGGTAGACGAGTGATTCTCGTTTGATAGCTTGCGTTTCAAATGAAAATATCTTATTGTGAAAAAACGTTTCATAGTTTTAATACTTTTGTGTGTGAAAATGTTATTTTATAAAACTTCAAATAAGTTTTCTAGTCGCAGTGGGAACTATAAAAATTTGTATTTTGAAAAAGAAAAGTCATCGATATTAATTTTCCATTTTTATCCACCCGAGGGAAGTTTCTAGTATAAGATTTCTAGTGTAGAGAAGTCCATTCACGTGATGTCGAGTGGCCTCCAACTTGAAGTTACCTCATTGTGATAAGATGGCGCGTTTTGTTGATAAGCTGAGATAGGTTCTGGCAGTTCTTATCCTTTTCTTTATATAGGCGCTTGGCGCCTCTACCTCTGGGTACAGTAGAACTACCTCCAGTCAGAGGAATACGTGGATTAGAGAGAAAACATTGTAGCAAAGTATTTAGTATTTTATTAACAGAGTATCTTTTTTGTTTATATTATACTACCCCGTAAACTTTCCTCGTTGCTTATCTTTTATTTATCATTCAAAGTTTGTTCTTGCATAAATAAATTGCTGTGAAATGCTGAAGTTTGTCTTTCCTAATCTTCCACGTGGCAATATGGTTTTACGGGCTACTAACTAAAATAGCCCGTGGATAACGTCTGGTCTATTTCAAAGGTTATCTCTTATTAAGGTCGGAATAGCTATGGTCAAATCATATTTTATTTACTAATACATTAAATCGTGAATGAATATCGTTGTGAAAATAAAGTTATCCATTTTTTAAATACTTTCACATAGAAAAACTAAGAAAGACAAACCTTAGAATGACATGGAAATTTATTTTACAATTTGACTTTTGTTGTTGTTTTCGTGTCCAATGTAGAGCCTCAGATGACCCCGTGCATCT